GTAGCCGATAATATGGAGACAAATACAAATTGATAAACAAAAAGACATACATTTAATGTTCGTACTTATTTAGTGGTAAACAGTCAGAGCATCGGGTTGGATATTTTACCCTATCGGCTGAACTACTGGCGCAATATGGTTTAAATTCTTATTAATATAAAGTACTAGCTGCTGCCCGCGACTACGTCCGCGTAGTAGGCTGAAAACGTAACATTCAGACAGATATACATAAAATATGTATATAAATTATAGCCTATGCCTTTTGATGTATAAGCTATATTATTGTAAAGTTTCATTAAAATCCATTCAGTAGTATTTGCGTGAAAGAGTAACAAACATCCATCCATATATACAAACTTTCACCTTTATAATATTAGTAAGGATGTATCTCTATTTCTCGTGTGCCTAGTGACGAATGGAGTGTACTTTGATATATTTATAGTTGTTTTAGCTGGTTTATTTTTATTGGTATACAATGAACTAAAAGGCTTCAAATTATGACAAAAAAAGGTTAATAATGGTGATGTTAATTGATCTTATGTCACTTTATGTTTCAATTGAACTTCATCTTGCATTCTTTTTAAAGCAGACAAATTACTCGATGGCGCGGTTGCTAAGGTAAGCTTCGGCGCCTGCGGTCGTGGGTTCGAATCCCACATAAAACAAGTATTTGTGTGACCTACATATAACTGTTCCTGATTTGGGTCTTTGCCCATAAGGAAAGTTGATGTTAGCTAGTTGGCGGGTCGTAAAAAAACTAACGAAAACCTCTGACATCATGATTCATGTATTGTGCCAACTCTACCTACGTAGGATAAGGGCAGAAGTAGAGTAGAGAAGTAGAGAAGAAGTATGACGACAGCTTCACAAAGAAGGCACAAAGTTTTTGATTGCAAGGTGGCTAGTGCTTCATTAATATTCCGGATTATATGAAGCAGTTTCGTTGCTCATTCGGTGGGGTAAGCATCAAATATGCAGTTCAGTACTTCGGGTTCAGTAATCCGTTCAACCCCATTTCTAAAGATATCTTAATGGTAGCAAAATAAAAAAGCTTTTGTAACTGGCATTGCTGAAGCTCAACAATCGCTTATGATCAGGCCAACTGTTCTATTTCCACAAAAAAATATATTAAAATATAAGCAAATGGTATAACCGTAGAACTGAAACTTGACGTCCACAGAGTGCATTTCGCCAATTATTGCGCAAAACCATCTATCACCACTCCCGCGTGGCCTTTGAAGCTCTCGTCGCAAAAGCCCCGATGCTGAATGGTCCGCGGCGCTATTCCAGCCATTGTCGGTCCGGCGGAGAGACGGATCAATGGTTAAGTACTAACTAGCCGGAGCTGTGAACTCATACAAATGGCCGAAGTGACATGGGAATGCGAACCGATGGCTCAAAGATATTTTATAGGCTCCTGAATAATTTCGCGACGACCGACATCCGGCCTCTATAGAGAATTCTCCGCTTTTTGCTTTATTATTATCTCCTAAATATTACACGCTAATTGCGAGCGGTACTTTAGTGGTGATGAGTGCGAAGTGACACGAAAGTATTACTTCTGTATTGACTTGGCCTCCTAAATATCGATACAAAACAATTTTAAATCTATATTAGTTTGTGTATTTTATTTATGCTGTATTAAAAATGATATTAATTTTTCGTATATCGTTCGTTATATCGTAACATTGGCATTGAGCATTGGCATCAACAACTTGGAATAACCAATTGTGAATCATTTATGATTTAATTTGAATTTTATTAGAACAACTTAATATAAATTAGTTGGCTTTCAGGATCGTTCTTCGTGGCATTCTGTGCACCTATGTCCAGCAGTGTACTATAGGCTGAAATGATGTTGATAATGATTCGATTATGTTCGACTTCATATAGTTACATAAATAAATTAAATTTTTCAATGTTTTGAATTGCCTTTGTAGAGTAGGGAAATATTTTAATAGACTTAAATATTTACAGTATTAATTATTTAAAATCGTATACAATTTTAACTCATCGATGTCGTAATTGGACTCTTATCAAGACTGTGTACTATTTTGTTTTTTTTTACATTTACATTTATTTGTTTTGAAAAATTCATTTTCGTCATTTAAGGGTTTCGTGGGAAGAATTGAGTTGGGATAGTATGAAAATAAAAATAAATTGTCAACTATGTACTCTTAGTAAGAATGCAATACAAACAATGATATAAAACTAAAGCATTTTTAGAACAGCTTATCAACATGCTCATTCATGACGCATTATTAATTTGTTTTATTAAAATTTTACTCGCATCCATGTTCTGACGACAAAGAAGCCAACGTAAACTATATAGATAATTGACGATAAACTATAAAGATAAATGACTCCATGGCGCAGTTGCCAAGGTATTGGCTTCGGCGTTGGGGGTTGTGGGTTCGATTCCCACGCGGGACAACTCTTTGTGTGACCCACAGATAGTTGTTTCGCAACTATAGTGTTAGTCCGCGTGAAATTTATGTTTGTAAAACGTCCCTACAACACAGGATAATGTTATCCTAAAGTAAGGGCAATGTTTTTTATCCTTAAGAAAAAAATTGGACAAAGCTATACACGCCTTAATGACTAGAAAAAACATAATAAAGTCGTGTTTTTGAAGAATTTTTCCGAAAACACTTGCAACTTCCGCCAGATATACTATAATACTCGTATCAAAGTGCGCAGTTGCGATAACTGCCAAGCTAATTGACGGGTTCCTTACACACCGTGGCCATATACACAGCAAATTAAGTGTGAACTGTATACAATTTTCAGGTCAATTAACCACAACACCCCAGCGCGTTCCAAACCGAAATGAGTTAAGGTTCGCGCTTCGCCGCGTACCGAATTTCGCGTGCTCCACGAATATGTCGTTTATTTTACACACCGTAAAGATCAAATGTCGGCGCGTATAAAATTTATGTCCTTTTAAGTAACGTGTTTATATTATCGGGCAACACGCGTCAAAAATTATTCGTAAATTTTTCTGTCGGATTTCATTCGCGATATCTTGTCACTGTAATGTACTTTTTAGAATTTCTGTTATTAATATACTAATTAAAACATATTTAAATTCAAATGAGATTGCAAATTGAAGTCAGTTAAAAGAATATAAATTTTAAATTGGAATATAAATTTTAAATTCGTCACAATATATCAGCACGAAAATATGAACATATTCTCTTTAAATCCTTTGAACTTTTAAAAAGCTTACTTTTAATTATTTTTTTTCTTAATCTGTGCTAGTTTCACGTGACTTGTCACAGATAGTTATTGCGTCATCCAGTTCATTATTGCAGTAAACCAACAAAAACTCGACTCGATCGTTATACAATTAGAGCACTCATTTTGAGAGTGTCACCAGGCTCGTTATATCTAGCCGTGAGTTTTGAGCCAATTTAGCTAAGACTGCATCGCTTCAATTCTGTGCAACTCAGCTCGGGTATAAAGCAATTATTTCTCTACATATTTGCGCGGAGCGTGGCGGTTTTTATGCAGTTACGAGGTCAACTGAGCGTGTAATTTCGATGACTGTTAATCGACCCAACATAAATAGTAAAAAACGTACCTATGTAGATACATACGTTTACATGGTGTTGAACGCTGTAATGTTCTGTTTAAGTAATTATTGTCGCTCTTCGGAATCACGCGTCACGCGTTTATGGGCACCAATTACTTCTAAAGTTTGTTTGTTTCTATATTCTTTATTGTACTAGAAGTTTGTACAAAGGGGAACTTAATGCTAAATATCATTTTCTTCCAGTTAACCTTTGGTGGTTGAGTACAAGTTACTTATTAAAGTTACTTAGTAAAGTTAATATTGAATGTGCATAATCTTGTTTATACGGCCTTTGAATATCAAATCGAGCTTTTATAAAGCTGTTAATATTTTTTCATTAATTTGTGATGTGTTCTGGTACGAGTTTGTTTTAGAAATTGTCTTCAAACACTTATAATTTCATCATTGAATGAAGAAATTCCCCGGACATTATTGGGAATATAATTACTAATGGCTCAAGATTATAGATCGTTCACACCCCAAGTGCCATTTATGTTCTGAATGAGCAAATTCAAATAAGAGAAGAGAAAATGAAATAGATACTACAATGAAAACTTCACATGAACGATTGGTTGCTTTCTTTTGTTTGCATTAGTTAAAAGGACAGCGAAAATAATTACGTAAAAACCTCAAACAAGAAAGTGAAACATAAAAACTGAGTAGATTTTTGGATCTTGGAAGAAGTTCCATCAACATCGTCAAACATGTTTAATTTAGTAATTTTGTGTGGTAGCACCTCTGCATTGCTGTGTATATACACAGCAATCCAGAGGTGCTTAGAGAGAGCGTTTAGAAGTTTATTTCATTCAATCTTTTAATTATATTGCTAGATAGAACTAAATAAATAATAAATAAATAAATACTTTCAGGACACGTTCTTTTTACACAACATTCTCTAGTCCCAAAATAAACAATGCGGTACTATGGGTACTAGAAAACTGATAGATATACTTAAACATACTTTTATTTTGTAAATAAATACATATTATACATATATAAACACCCAGACACTAGAAAAACACTATGCTCATCACACAATATTTTTCCAGTAGTGGGGATCGAACTCACACCCTCTGGCGCAGAAAACAGGTACATTACCGACTACGCCATTCGGGTCGTCAACTGATATAGAACTTAATTTATAATATTTCTGAGCAGTTTTTGAGTCATTTTGCAAATGCTGTTTGTTTATTTTCATTTTGCCAAGATTATGAGTTTTATACATGGACAGAATTTCTATAAACATAATTAAACATTCACCTATCAATGATTTAGTATAGACTTCAGGATTAGTTAGCTTTTGCGAAGACATATAGTTAATCTACACCGCAATAATAGTAACTTAGTTTTTTGCGCCGCAAGATTCGAATGAACCTGTGCCTAGCTGCTAATGGCTGATTCTTTGACCACTGAGCCGCGTCAATCACCGGGCGAACGGACAGGCAAATGTGTATCGTATGTAAGTGACCACGGCGACGCTGAAGCAAATGAAATGGCCAATTAAACCGATAAGTGGCATCCCGGCCGACGTGCAAGCCTCCTCCGAGCGCGTCGCACGACTTATTGTCGGTGTCGCGTTTGCTGTCCAGGGCGGCGTTTGTACGTTGCCGCCGCCTTTGCATGCGGCCGGCATGCCTTTTTTTCTCTAGTTCGATTTTCAAATTGACGGATCGAGTTTGTCTTTCCATTCATTCGATTTTCAAATCAATTTCAATGTAGTTTCCTTTTTTTTTCTAGTTACATGTATGTTTTCTTGTTGAAGCTTCTTTTGAGCTTAGTCCAATTAGTATTTTAATGAAGTAATGCGTGTTTTATAGGACACACATTACCTCATTACACTATCAATTCAAGTAAGTCCAGATTTTTGCATTCGATGTTCAAATGATGATTGTTTTTGCGAAAAGTTTAAACAATGTGAGTATGCGATGTAGAATTAACTCGTCCTCTTTTGTATCGAAACCATTTCAGTTTCGTAATATAAGAGAATAAATTCATTATTTTATTTTACTGCCAGCCTTTGTCAACGAATTAAAAGAAACACCACTTCACCGTGAAGCAGTTAGAGTCGATTCGCGCAATAAATACAAATTGATTTCTAATTTCAAATGCATTTATCTTAAAAGCGATCCGTTGTTATGATTACAATTCGGAATTCGAATACGGTTGACGCTATAAAGCGTAGCGTTTTCGACTTTCACCGTCAGTGCGGCCGCCTCTTCCCACGACGGTGGTTGTGTAGTAGGCAACAATTAGACAATTGTCGGCCATTTTAACGATCAACCATAAAATCGGGTCCCGGCCTCTCATTAACCGCATTCTTCTGATACTTCCGCTTTTATAGTTTTACTAATCAACGCTTCGAGATTAATATGGTCCCGTACGTAATGGCGTCGGCTGTGTCGAGATTAATTTTATTGGTCCGGGCCTCAGACAATTGGTCGTATAGATAATTGAGTTTCGGACTGGATCGGCCCTTTTCTTAACTTTCCCGTGTTTACTGTTGGGCCACTTACCCCTCACCTTTATCGCCCTTCGCCTGCCGCACGAAAACTAACAATATTTAGATTACTGGCAATGGAACATGACCATTGTGAGAGAAAAAAGTTGTCCCCGCATCGGACACTTACGCGCCGTTAGCGATATCGAATGAGGGCCTTTTCATTAAAGCTTTCTGAATCGGCCCAATCGGAAAGACATTTTCTGTATTTTCATATCGAAAATAAATTAATCTTTCATCCATTGGTGGTTTGTTTTTGATCCTTCTTTTTAAAATTTATGAGTTGGTGTTTTTATCTATGTTGCTACGTATTTTGAGTGCTTAAACAATAATAATAAGAATAATGAAACAATAATCATATATTTAACTTTGTTTAAAACAATAAATATCGTATAATCATGGAAATAACGTCAAGTTACAAGTGTTATGTGTACTCAAAATAAGATTTTTCATTTTATAAAACTAAAGGCAAATACATGTATGTACAAGGAGAGCTCATCTGTGTGCACTTTAATTTACTCTAACCAAATTCCGTAACTAAAACTCTAAATAATTCAGTGTTTATTTATTCAATAGGGTATGAACAAGTAATACAGAATCTATAAACAATTAACACTTCAACACGTTTATGTCAAATATTTCATCACCACTTGAGAAATGGATGGGAGTTGAAATGTAAATTAAACAAAATAAACAATGCTTATAAATTTTACAAGCTAATTTTTAATTACCATTAAGCTCACCTGATTAAGTTTTGAACTAGTGGCATTGAATTGGTGCATGGCAACTTTCCAATCAAGAGGCTACATTTCTCTCTACTTATTCTTTAAAATGAATTAATAATTGTAAAAGTAAACAAAAATTAACATCCCATATAACCCACTGTTGGGCAAAGACCTCCACTGTACAGAGGGTGGCAGGGCATAGTCACGCGACCCCACTGCGGACTTCACATAGCTTGGAAATATTTTTTTGTTATTATTTCGAGAATGTGCAATGCAGGTTTTCTCACGATATTTTCCTTCACTGCTGAGCGCGTGATAAGTCGGCATCGGGATTTGAACTCGGGTTAATCGAGTATATTGAATTAAAAGCGTGCACTGCGGTATTAAGGAATTGATTCAGGCAATCATTAATTATATTTCGAGGAGCCTGAGAAACATGTTATGAGCAAACTCTAGATATTCCTCATCAGAAGGAAATTTCATGGATTTATGATTTTATTTGGGAAAGGGGTAAAAATATATATGTAATCTGTAGAGTTTGTATTATTCTTGGGTTCAAACTTTTTTCATCACAGCCACCGTTGACATCGAAATGCGTATATCAGAAACTATTTAGCAGATCTTGAAAGTTTTTCCAGCAATGGAAATCTATAGTATGTATGTGTAAATATGTTCTTATTATTAATCAAAAAGTCTTCATTAGAAATCCTTACATTTGTTTTATAAGGCGGTAGAGAAAGCTTTTAAAATAAATAAAACACACCGTGAAACTGTTAAATATGATTCCATGTTGATCTAGATTATATTACTCATTTTATCATTGTCATTTATGGCCTCTGCTAAATTAGCATTATTATATCTTCCTGGCTTCCTCTTGAATAACTCTATCTAGTAAAAAAACTGCATCAATATCCGTTGCGTAGTTCTAAAGATCTAAGCAAACATAGGGGCAGATAGACAGCGGGACGACTTTGTTTTATACTATGTAGTGATTCAATTGTTTACATTGTGTTAAAATTTAAGTAAAGTAAGCCTATCATGTTCCACTACTGGGGAAAGGCCATCACTGCATAAAGGGTATTGGAACGCTCAACGTAATATATGGGAAATATTTTTTTATTGCTACTCAGAAAATATGCTTATTTCTTATGTTACGAAGTTTTCCTTCACCACTGAGTACGTGGTCTGTTAGCACTTTTCAAAATTATAATATACAATTTCATTAGTGCCGGCACCAGAATCTCAGCTCAGATTTCTCGGGTATATTGAATTAATACAAGCATCCGGACACTGAGCTATCACGGCCCTACAAAAACTTGTACGGTACCAAAAATTTAACGTTATTCAAATTTGACTGACAGTGCAAAACAGGGATAATCAAGATAAACGATTAACGAATAAAGAAACCATAAGAGCTAACCAACTATAGCAGAATTAGGCTAATATTTTGTAGATGAAGGTAGATAAATATTTTTTTATATCTATCAGATAATCATCGACTTTAATTAGCAATAAGAAATGGAAACTTCAGATGTATGCGATATCATCTATTATAAACGACGTCCGTAGCCATTAGATTGCTTCCGTGCGTATTTTTGTTTTAATTAAAAGTAAGCATAATGTGTATTTATGGCCTATAATTAAACATTGAACATCTAATAAAAGGCCTTGATTTGTTTACATTTCTGTCGAATTATTTATTATTACTTTGTTTTTTATGAGTTTTATAAATGTATTCCCTATTTATTCACAGACATTATAGCGATGGAAAAAGAGTTGTGTTTTGTCATTGTTAATTAATCGGTGATAATCTTCATTTGATAGGAATGTCTTAAGAAGCTATAATAATAAAACAAAACACAAAAATTTAACTTAAATATTTTTTTGAATGACATCTTTAATAGCGGATTTCACAAATCGTGAAAAACACACAACAATCAACACTGACGGTTTTGGTTTGCGTTGACAAGCTTTAGTAAGGGGATCTTACCTTAATCACCAGAGGAAAGGGAAAAATTTACATGCTTCCGTACTACGTCTTTTTCTGCAAGGAAATAGTACTTCAAGAAGTGGCTTGTTCATGCAACAACAGAATCTGTTGCGTGGCTCTATTTTTGTAAAAAGCTTAATGTTGCTGTCGATACACGTATTTTCTGGATAGTGAATGCTGGCACAGCGTACATCATATGATTTTTCAGCACTCAATATTTTCACACATTTTATACTGCAATTATCATAACATGAAGATTTAACTATTCAGGCATATGAAGATTTAACTATTCAGGCCAGTTCCCCTAATTTTCTTATCACACTGACGATCTGCTAGGCAAACGCTTCACTCCTTTTCAGCTAGATATTTAGCCTTGATGACCTCGTTTAATTGTATCCTGTACCTTTGCCTGCGTCATGTCGTAAAGTAGTAAGTAGTAGTAGTAAGCAATAAATCTATGAAAAGTTTTTTTTTATGAAAGATTTTTTTTAACGTGGGAAAATAATTTATAGATTCCTTTGCCACCGAATCGGGGAAGTGGCAGAGGTATGTGAGAGTCCCGGTCAGAAACGGGTACTTAAAACCCACATTACACTTGCCTCTGTCGCATCGGCTGGGTTCATGGGAACATGATGACGAAATCTTCCGCAACCAGCGTAAATGGCCTTCTTGGGCCCCCTCTTCCCGGGTGTTACAACACCCACTCCAGCCAAATACCGGCACCCACGACACCACACACCCACTCCACCATTTGGTTGGACTGGACTGGGTGTGTGGTGTCGTGGGTGCCGGTGCGATTAGTACAGCACCCCTAACAGACACTCCTATTCCTACCGCTCTGGGTCTTACTTCAAGGGGGTAAGGCTTTTTTTATGTGAAAAGTTGAAAAACGAGCAGACGGCTCACCTGATGTTAAGTGAATAACGCCGCCCATAGACATCTGCTACACCCGAGGGTTTGCAGATGCGTTGACAACCTTTTCGGAAATTGGGCTCCGGCCACCTCACTCACCAGACGAAACGCGAAAGTATTATACTTCCACTTTACGCCGGTCTTCTGTGAGGTCGGTGGTACTTACCCGGACGAGCCTGCCCATTCGTGCAACAACCAAGGCTGCTGCGTGGCCCTACCACCGGGATAAGAAAGAAGGTTGCGCGCGTAGGCCAGGCTCCTACATCCTGGTCTCCTACAGCGGACAACCAGGATGACAGCGGCCGCACTTAGTCATGGAATCATTACCCTACTGTTTTGACATTGAGTAAGTCGCACTTTTTCCGAGAATCGCTTCCACATCTAATTAAATTTATGAACGACTGTAAAAACAATTCACTGTGAAAGTGTGGTAAGTATAGTTTGCAGCGAATAATCAAAAGGAAACTTTGGAACGAACTTTAAGGTGGTCCAAATTGTTTGTTAGTATT